GTAGAAGCCTATTTGACAGAAGTCATGTGACCGTTACTCGATGCTTTTTTTTTCCTCTTCACCAATTACATTGGTAATAAGCATCCGAATGGGAGAAATTCCAATTCCACACATGAAAAATCAGTGGCGATCACTCACTCCTTAGTTTCAGTGCGACAAATACGGGTGAATGTAAATGGATCTGACCCATTATGGGTTTCACTAATAATTTCTGGGCAAATTCCTCTTATCATTGTAGTAGAATTGTCGACTTTGAAATTTTCCTTATTATGAAGAATCTAAATAATTGAACAAATGCTAAGACTATTGCAATCTCGTCAGAGTCTAGTCCAATAAAAATGCAGTGTTCGCGAAAAAATNTTACATTGGTAATAAGCTTCCGAATGGGAGATATTCCAATTCCACACATAAAAAATCAGTGGCAATTACTCACTCCTTAGTTTCAGTGCGACAAATACGGGTGAATGTAAATGGATCTGACCCATTATGGGTTTCACTAATAATTTCTGGGCAAATTCCTCTTATCATTGTAGTAGAATTGTCGACTTTGAAATTTTCCTTATTATGAAGAATCTAAATAATTGAACAAATGCTAAGACTATTGCAATCTCGTCAGAGTCTAGTCCAATAAAAATGCAGTGTTCGCGACAAAATCCATTCCATCATTTATTCATATGATTTTCAAATTTCATAAGAAAACATCATTCTTTTACAGTATTTCGCATGGTTTTCATAAATTATGAGTAATCCGAATAGAGACGCCTGTATTCTTAACTTTTTTTCTCCTCTGTATCCCGATAAATTGTCAGAAGCATACGTCATCATTTAATCAATAGATTCGTGATCCTAGTGATTACTTATGATATTTCAAACAAAAATTTGTCATTACCATTATTTTTCAACTTTTTCATATATTTTAATTTGTAATATTTTCTCTTACATCATGATGAATTTAATAATTAAATTCATATTAGTACTCCTAGTAATTAAAATATCTTAGTGATTTTTTTCTTATTCCGACTCAATTACTTCCTTAGACTGTATTTTTATTTGCCCATAAAGATTTATTTGCTGACGTGCATGTAACTCCCACTCAAACTCACACAGATCGTCTGCAGCAAATACTGAATCCGTTAAGCTCACTCTGCTTAACCTACGTGGTACAGCATTTTTCTGTGGTTCCCGGTAGCTTAGTCGGTAAGAGTGCCCGGCGCGTATCTGGGAGACCCAGGTTCGATTCCCGGCTGGGTGTAGCGAAAATTTTTTCTCTCTATATTCTAATTCTCCTAGAATTTTTTTATTAATCAATGATATGTAAGATATATAATTTCATCTTCTGTAGATATAATGTTATCAACGTTATATCTACACAAGATGAAATATTAACTAACGACCATACTTTGAATGACGAAAATTGTTATAAAATTTACACCTCTTAAAAAACTAGACCACGCCAACCTCGGTCTCCGTCACAACTACGGCTATCGAATATCCATGAAATATTAGATTATATGGAGTAAAAAAAACATGGATTTGTATTATATGACTTTTGAAGTCATGCAGAGATGGAAAACATTGATAAAATGACAATTTGTGATTTTTCAGAAAAAAAAAGCGTTTCGGACGAATCACTCTATGCCAGGATGTACTGAATCGATTGGCACAACATTTTATACACGAATGTAGGCCAACCATGCAAACTAGTAGCCAGAATCTCAGATGTTTAGTCCATGTTTAACGCTCATTATAGAGCCCACATTGGATTTTAATTTACAAAACTAGAAAAACGCTGATATCTCGAAAACTTTGTATGGGCGGGTATGCATATTTTGATTGATCTTGATAGAAGATACCATGACAAATGTTTTGAAAAGAAAAAAAAAGTCAATCGGACCAGCAGTTTTGGAGATATTGAGCATTACAGTTTTTCACAAAAAAATGAATATCTCCTAAACTACTTGTCCGACTCAGCTCATCCACAATCCCATCCTGTAATATCATAAAATCTACAGTCCACCAAATTTCAACTTTTTATCTTGATTTTTCAAGGCGCTATCGTGCTTACAACGATTTTTTCATAAAAATGAAAAATGCCAATGATTACTAGGTTGCCCATGGTTACATAGCAATATTATGATTTGATTTGACAGATATTATCGCAAGGAAGATTTTGGCGTCAAAAAAATTGAATTCGGTCATGTAGTTTTTGAGATATTGAGAAAAAATTTTTTTGAGAAATTGCTGTATCTCCAAAACTACTGAGCCGATTGAGCAGAAACTGCGCTCACAAATGCTCCACAGTAATACCAACTATGTGACAAAATTTCAGATTTTTAGCTTCAACTTTTGTCCTTTATTTGTCGTGATTTATAAAAATTTTCGAAAAAATCGACCCATACTTTCGGACACACGTACATACGTGGTCCTCAAACTTCGTATTTTTACGTTTCAGACCATTCTACATCATTTCCAAGCAAAATTAGCGAATCGAAAAATCGACCGATTACAAATCTTCCTTTCGGAAGCAATAAATTAATACAAAGCCAACAAAAATTAATTTCGACTCTCGCCTCGCCAATAAAGTGACTTCCCGTCTGGAAGTCCATTACCGCTGAACGGTCGAGGACAAAACGAAATACCACGTTACAACTTGTTCTCCTCCAGACCGGAGGCGGTGGTTCATTTTTCTAACTTGAAGCACGATTTCTAGGCGAGTCAACACTCCCCCCTCGCCAGAGTCTTTAAAATTCATGAGTCAAGAAATCACCGAACAAAACAAAATCCAATCGAATATCAGTGGTTCTAACTACGAAGGAAATCAAATACACAACATATAGTTATACTGCTCGCCAAGAAAGAATGATGTTCGGGTCTCGAGCCGAATGGCTTCCCCCACCACTACCTNCCCCCCCCCCAGAGTGACGAATGTCTCACTCCGCACGCGCGTTAACATTTAGCGCGCTTTTTAAAGTAACCGGTGCGATGCGAAGAAATTGGATGAGAATGGGGATATATATACCGAGACTTTATGAAGTTTCTTTCTACTCCTGCCCAAGTCTCGATGGAAACGCCAAGCTGAACTGGACTCCGCATTTTCACCGAGAGCTAGACATAAACTTAGCCGTACCTGACTTGAAGTCCCGGTGCATATAACACCATTGATGGCATACTGTAGTTAATCCTAAACCACTTTATGAGTAAAGATAATACTCCTTTCCCCCAAAATAAATATTCTGAAATTGAACAACCAATGGAAAACGAAGGTAGAGAGATTAAGATAACGCAATCCGTTTTCTCAGGGACCAAATATTAAATAAGGAAAATATTTTACGGGGATGGGAAGGAAAATGATCGAGAATTGAGCGTTTCTTCAATTTTTTGCAACTATTTTGTTGAAATTTCTCATTTATTATTGGTAGAAAAACGAACGTGAGTAAGGAATTTGTTTGCAGCTGTTTGCGATAAAAATTTCCTTTCGAAGAATAAAACTTTTACCATGATATTTTCATAAGCCCTATTTTTACAATTAGAAAAATGGAAAACATGAATAATATGTACAAGTTGGAAAGAACATAAACCGAATGCGATAAATATTCGAACACGACACATCTTGATTTCTGTATTCATTTAGTTCTTATTCAACTTCGGGAAACACAATTCAAAAAAATTATTGGTGCGCCGCTGGATGACATTGAGGGACATTTAAAACGATCTTCAGGAATTGTGAATACAGAATCTGAATAAAATATTTACATAAACGAAAAAGATAACTTCACAACAATAAATAATTATGATAATGTCGTCTCTGGTTGAATGAAGCTGATGATGATGTGAAGTTTAGTTCATTGATCTTCCGTAAGCGGTGAATTAGTTTGAATAGTTGGAAATGAACTAAACAAATAGTGAAGTGATGAAGTTCATTCAAGTTTAGTTGAGTTGAATTAAGTGCAAACTCTGTTGTATCAACTTTTGAATATTATGAAGAATATTCCGGTCATTCTTCGCAGGTTTCTCCAAAATCTGTGAACGTTGAAGATAAGAACATTGTCAAATATGCTGATTATTTCCAAAAAGTTTTTAAAATTAATATTATGTAAAATAATGACAAGTTTAATCGTGAAGAAATTGCGAATTGATAATTTCCTATGGAATATTATTATGTGAAAACTATTCACTCCGCTAAATTATTCATTTGCAATTTTGTTAACACCAGTGTTGGTTCTTAATATTATATGAGTTAAAAACATTCGGAAACACTCAGTCTTGCTTCTACTTCATGTTTATGGTAAACGAAACAGCAATTAAAAGGAGTAATTGTGTCAAGACTCAGGTGAATTATTTTGCAAATGTTATCTGAATTGTTTTCTCATTTTTGCAATAAAAAAACACATTTTCCAGTTTTCATGTGATTTTATATCACGTAATTGTTCCAAATAACTATGATTGTACGATGTAACAAGGCTAGAAAAATAATTGAACATTTCCAAAGAGCGTTTGTAATAAACCTTACCAAATGAATACAACGCGGAAAAATTTGCCAATGGATAATTTATCATGGCAGCTGACGGTCTGATAGCCATTGTGACTCATGACAATCTCATAGCCATATTCATGCTGTATTCATTCCCCAATATTTTTTATAGACGCTCTATGCGAATGTTTATTGACAATCATAATTATTCTGGATTTTGGAAAGAAAGCTGAATAGCTAATGAAGCATATTTAAGGTTACTAAAATCGAAAGGAATAAAAATAACGTCTCAAGAATAATATATTTGAGCATTCATCTGAATTCAGTAATATTCCAGGCTGTTCTGAAACACAAGTCAAGGTTCTAATTAATGAATGACGTTCAAAAGTTGATGTGAATAGTCCTGAAACGGGTTAGAATTACTTCATAGATTTAGCTGTAAGTATAGTATCAAGTATCAACAGACTCCAGCGTTTGTAGACTGCAATACAAACACTTGTTGCTTTGGAATGATAATCAGTCTACCTACTTAACTTTCAACAGAAATATCTCGTGATCCCATGGGGTTCAAAAGTATCTCGAGGTAAATCTGAATGTTAAAAATGAATTCCATTGAGAAAACTTGTCCATCCCCCTCAAGCCAATAATTTCAGCTATGAAAAAAAACCCATTCGAGCATTCGTCAAAAACTCGTTCCTTTACGCAATTCAGATGCTTGGAGACCACGTAGCTAAATCCCCTCACGACTCTGTAAACTATAAAATAGAGCATCGAGTCATGATGAGCGATGAAATCATCCATTTTTAAAATTGCAACAATTACAACACAGTGATAATTATCGGGTCACATTGATGGTATTAATTAGTATATTTGAAAACAATGATAAATGTAAAAAAGACTCACTTGGACACAGAATATTTGCCATACACCAGAACCACCTTGATTGATGAGGAGCAAACGAGTGAGTGCTTCTACTGTCAGACAGCGAAAAAGGCGGGCTGTCCCTCTATTTGGGTTGGCGAATGGATAGCAATTATTGTTATCTACACGATAGGAATTGAACATGAAGAAGTTCCTCTTTTCACCAACGAGACGAGAGATGAAGACAACTGTCTTGGTACCAGCAACGTACATAAACCCCGAATCGTGAAGGCTTGATTCATGCCTCTCCATCAAAGAGTTTATTCCCGTGGTGAGGTCCCTGAAGACCATCGAAGAACTGAAGAAACCCTCCCATACAGCCTGAATACCAATTCCAACAGTGTGACCACGAAATATCACTGATGGTAAAAGCTCGTCTAGGCACAGATGAAGAGCAGTCACATTGTTGGCTGACTTAGACTGCACGTAGTACTTGTCGCCTTCAATCAGTATGTAGTCAAGAAAATCTCGTGTGATGTTGCCATAAGAGAAGTGCAAAGCCACAATACTGAATGTATCAATCGCCGTACACTGCCCATTGGCCCTTTCTTGGGGGAAGTGCATGGTATCACCTTGGCGAAAACGCGCTGATTGATGGAGAAAAACATTAGCAATCTTTGGCAGTCCATACGACGTTTGCCTTCAATTTCGATCATGTTATTAGGTAAATTTTTCGGTTTTCCCAAGAACAATCGATTACATGAACAGGTGCGACCGATCCAAAGAATGAATTGAACCACTCACCGGACTTTCTGAACATGTAGTTTGATTTGCGTTTTCGTCAGTCACTGTCAATGGAATGGGCTTGGGAAACTGCAAGTGGCATGACACCAGTTCCTCCATCATTTTGGCCCTTTTATCTGCCATATGGACTTGAGAGAATGCGAAAGGGACACGTCTGATTAAGCATTCTGCATAAGTACATATGAACACACTACAGTCAAAGTCATTGGTTTGGTGAGGAATACCATGTTAATTGACAGATAAATCAACTAAATATCACTTCAATAAAATATAGAAATGTACTGGAAACGTTCAGATGGGAAGAATGAGAACCTTTATATGTTTTGTTGTCCATTCTGTTGCGTTTAGAACTGCCTGTTTCTTATCTACATGTTCACTCATCAAGTAACGAAGAATTGTCTGTGAAAAAAATGCTATGAGACTCAGAACAAAAAGTGTGTATTGATTTTAACGAACTTACATCCATGCAGAGTTGATTAGGGAGGTCCATGCTGTCATAGTATTCAATTGACTTTTCTTTGACTCGTACAGCACACAAACACCAATGGATTTTTATGTGGTGTATTGGGATCAACACCAACTCTTTGCTGAAAATTTCAACCTGGATTTTCCAAAATGAAGAAATTAGTCCCACGAAAAATATTTTCAACAATTGCTGATACAATCTGAAGACTATTTATTTTTCGTCTACCGTTTGACATTGTTGTACGAGCCGGCTGCTTGTTGATAGAAATTCGTGTCAAAGACGTGCACAGAACTTGCGCTGGCTCTGGTTAATAGATTCATGTATTTATTAATTACCTGGGAGAAAAAGGAACATACGAATGGCACTGAACAGATGAGAAGAGGATGTTGTGCTTTTCCATAATTACATTATTGTTGAGCCAATTGGGTGAGATCAATGTGTTCAGATCTATAACACGTAGTGGTCCGCCTTCGCTAGAGATCATCAGATTGTTTTCTCTTGTCAGCCAATCCTAAAAATGAATAATAATTGAAAGTGGGGAATATAGAATCGAACTTAGGCATGAGAACTATCGCTATACTGTTCAAGGAGTTTCCGGATTCTAGGAAACTAATTCCTCTGAGAAAATTTCCCCGGCTGGAATTTTATAAGAAAACTACTTTAAACATGCCTCAGAAAATTTTATCAAATACATAATTCGAAAATTAAGGGGAAGTAATGATCAACAAGCACAAGTATATGGCAATAGGAACAATAGATTTTCTAGCAAGGAAGGGAAAAGGAAGGAGTCATGCCGACGTGCAGAATTAAATTGAATTTATTGGGAAATTTACAGTTAATGAAGGCGGATGAAGAATCCTAATTTATGTTTAGAAATTGAATCAATTGAATCGAAAACAATTTTTTAGAAAAAGGAGAAGCTAAAAAAAGTTTCTTCATCATAATTCAGCGAAAAATAATCTTCCCTCCACTCAATTTGTTTAATAAAAAAAAAGTTCAACTCAAGTTTTCCCATGGCATAAATGAACTCATATTGAGAATTGAAAATTCCCCCCTGTGCGGAATTTTTCAGGGTTATTTAATTTACAAAATGAATACAAAAGGATGGGAACGTACAATAATTACAATATTTACATTCAGAAGTAAAGGAATTTTCCCGCAGTGCATTTGTTATGCCCCAAATAATATTATGAAATTCCTCTGCTGATTCGGGTGACATAAAGTGACGAAAGTAGCACATGTTATCCGAAACAAAACTGTGGAATGAGGTAATATAAAATAACGTGGAATACTCGTGAATTAAACTTCACGTATAAACGACGAATGTGGATAACTGGGGTGCAGCGTCAGCACTTTGCGCCCCGACGCCTGGCCTTCGCGCGCGCTGGGAGACGTCAACCGATGCCTCGCCGGTGTGCGACGAAGAACGACTTGATGCAATCGAATTAAACGGGTGCATAAAACAGTGGTGAATTCGTTGCCTCGGGGCCAGTTACTCGACGAGTCTTGAATTACCTTTTTATCAAGATACGCGACAGTGTATCGGCCAAGTTGACGTTTTACCGGTGTGACGTCATAGGCCAATGCTGTTGCGTATAATATACACGACACAACTACTCCCCGAATGGTTTTTATTTTTTTTCTCGTGACACGAGAATTTCTCGCGAAATCCGTCCTTAGTGACATTATATAAGTTGACTATGAGCTTTCTAAAGATATTTTTACTTTCTCGATAAATCAATAATAAATAAAAATATCCGCCATAGCAGCCATCATAATGTAATATTTCGCGAGTTTATTTTCTCTCAGCGTTAGATTTGTTCGTCAACGTTGGCAACGAATATAATGTCTGTTTCTCTCTCTTTCTCTCTCTTCTTCCCTTTTTTCCGGCTGTTACCGGTAGCGTTGGCAGCAGAGATTATAGGGGAGATTGCAAGCGCTTATGGAGAAGCAAAGAGGATAGACTAAAGTAGAGGCTCAGATCCGGGGGTTTGGCCGACCCGAGCGTGAGGCTAGTACGACCCCATGGCAGAGAGGGCGACGCGGTTGATTTCGGTGTCTGGCCGAGTTCGCTATTTCGGTAACTCGGCAGTAATATCAGTCCCAATGTCACAGGGATAGTTTCGAAGGGGAATTTATGCCCTCCTCGTCCTCAACATGTTCTTAATGTTTTTCAGGTGATTCATTTGCTTGCTAATTAATATTAAGGAATGGGACACAGACGGTGTGATGGAGAATTAAATTCCCCATCAATCGATTCCCGTTGCATCCCTTAATCTCTGTAACAAAAAAATACAAATTACGACTAAAGTCATGGGCCAGTGAGAAACATATTTTTCTTCTCGGCACACACTGACTTTTCACCATTCGCTCGCGAATTAAAAATTTGTCTCTCCGCTCCTAATTGAAATTAAGGGATGAAAAAAAGGCTGTTTGACGGAGAACTAAATTACCCATCAATTAACCCGCTTTCATGTCGTAATCTCTGTAAAAAATGGAAGAAACTGTCATGGAAATCACAGCGCAGTAAGAAAAATCATTGTTTTGTGTCGCATAGTGACTCCCGGTAATTAAAAATTCAACTCTCCCCTCCTAATTGAGGTTAAGGGATGAAAAAAAGGCTGTTTGACGGAGAACTAAATTACCCATCAATTAACCCGCTTTCATGTCGTAATCTCTGTAAAAAATGGAAGAAACTGTCATGGAAATCACAGCGCAGTAAGAAAAATCATTGTTTTGTGTCGCATAGTGACTCCCGGTAATTAAAAATTCAACTCTCCCCTCCTAATTGAGGTTAAGGGATGAAAAAAAGGCTGTTTGACGGAGAACTAAATTACCCATCAATTAACCCGCTTTCATGTCGTAATCTCTGTAAAAAATGGAAGAAACTGTCATGGAAATCACAGCGCAGTAAGAAAAATCATTGTTTTGTGTCGCATAGTGACTCCCGGTAATTAAAAATTCAACTCTCCCCTCCTAATTGAGGTTAAGGGATGAAAAAACGGCAGTTCGACGGAGAATTAAATTCTCCATTAATTAACCCTCTTTCATCCCTTGATCTCTGTAACAAAAAAATAAAAACTGCCATGAAAGTCAGGGGCCAGTAAGAAAAATAATTTTTTCGCGGCGCACACTGACTTTTCACCATTCGCCCGTGAATTAAAAATTCACTTCTCCTTTCCTAATTGAGATTAAGGGATGAAAGAGAGTTAATTAATGGAGAATTTAATTCTCCGTCGAAATGCTTTTTTTTCATCCCGTAATCTCAATTAGGAGGGAAGAAGTGAATTTTTAATTCGCGAGCGAATGGTGAAAAGTCAGTGTGCGTCGCGAAAAAATTATTTTTCTTACTGGCCCTTGACTTTCATGGCAGTTTTCATTTTTTTGTTACAGAGATTAAGGGACGAAAGAAGGTTAATTAATGGAGAATTTAATTCTCCGTCGAACTGCCGTTTTTTCATCCCTTAATCTCAATTAAGAGGGGAGAGGTGAATTTTTAATTACCGGGAGTCACTGTGCGCCACAAAACAATTATTTTTCTTACTGCACTGTGATTTCCATGACAGTTTCTTGCATTTTTCACAGAGATTAAGGGATGAAAGAGAGTTAATTGATGGGTAATTTAGTTCTCCCTAAAACAGCCGTTTTTTCATTCCTTAATTTCAATTAGGAGGGAAGAGACAAATTTTTAATTCGCGGGCGAATGGTGAAAAGTCCGTGTGCGCCGAGAAGAAAATTATTTGTCTCACTGGCCCATGACATTTGTCGTAGTTTGTATTTTTTTGTTACAGAGATTAAGGGATGCAACGGGAATCGATTGATGGGGAATTTAATTCTCCATCACACCATCTGGGTTTCATTCCTTAATATTAATTAGCCAGCAAATGAATCACCTGAAAAACATTGAGAACATGTTGAGGACGAGGAGGGCATAAATTCCCCATCGAAACTATCCCTGTGACAGCGGGACTGCTATTACTGCCGAGTTACCGAAATAGCGAACTCGGCCAGACACCGAAATCGATCGCGTCGCCCTCTCTGCCATAGGGTCGTACTAGCCTTACGCTGGGGTCGGCCAAACCCCCGGATCTGAGCCTCTACTTTAGTCTATCCTCTTTGTGGAGAAGCTTCACCCGCAAAATTTCGTAGCGGTGGCGCATGAACTAAGTTTGTGGCCGTATCTGTGAATAAAGTAGGGCACGAGTCCGAAAGTGTCGATAACGGCGTAGAGTTAGCAGAATCGGAAGAATCGGTGGGCTGGGAATGCTGTGAGATGAAAGTTATAACGGCTTTCAAGGAAACGATATAGTTTTCAAGCGCCGAGTGGCCCCGCAATATTTGCGCTCAATTAAAAATTCATTTTTCCTCTCCCAATTACGATGGAGAGATGGAACCAACGGCATTCGATTGAGGATTAAATACTCAATCGACCGACACCAGTTGCATCCCTCTATCCTCCACGGGGGAGTGGAAAACTCGCGTTGAACGTCACGACGGCGCAGAAGAAAACGATACAGTTTTCAAGTGCTGAGGCTCCGCAATATTTGCACCCAATTAAAAATTAATTTCTCTTCTCCTAATGAAAATGGAGAGATGTAATGAACGCCAATCGATTGAGAATTGAATTCTCAATAAATGACAATGGTTTCATTCCTTCATCTCAATTAGGGGTGGGGGGGAGAAACAAATTTTTAAATCGTTGGAGCTCCTCCGGCCTCACTCGATGCCGGAGAACCGTTCGGGGTTACTTCGCACTTTTGAAAATTCATTCCTCCGCTCCTAATTGAGATTAAGAAATGAAACCGCTGTCATTCAGTGAGAATATAATTCTCGATCGATAGGCATTGGTTTCATTCCTTCATCTCAATTAGGGGAGGAGAAATCAATTTTCAAATCGGTGGAGCCCCTCCGGCCCACTCGACGCCGAAGAATCGTTCGGGGTGACTCCGCGCTTTTGAAAATTCATTCCTCCCCAGCCAACAATTTACCGGTAAATTTCCGGATATTTACTGGTCTTGGGAGGAATTTTAGATGACATAGGTAAAAATTGTTCTCAGGGTCCCCTCCTAATTGAGATTAAAAAATGAAACCGGTATCCATTCATTGAGAATTCCATTCTCAATCGATTGGCGTTTGTTCCATCTCTCCATCTTTATTAGGAGAAGAGAAATTAATTTTTCATTGGGTGCAAATATTGCGGAGCCTCTCAGCGCTTGAAAACTGTATCGTTTTCTTCTGCGCAGTCGTGACTTTCATCGCGAGTTTTCCACTCCCCCATGGAGGATGGAGGGATGGAACTGGTGTCAGTTGATTGAGTATTTAATCCTCAATCGAATGCCACTGGTTTCATCTCTTCATCTTAATTGGGAGAGAAAAAATGAATTTTTAATTGAGCGCAAATATTGCTGGGCCACTCGGCGCTTGAAAACTATATCGTTTCCTTGAACTCCATTGTAATTTTCATCTCACAGCATTCCCAGCCCACCGATTCCTCCCCTGGCGTGATTTCTA